CTTGTTGCATGATATTTGATCACACTGCGAACCCCAAGATTGCACTAATTAAAATCCACCTTGGGTCAAGAGGTGGAGCCAGCAACTAGTTGACAGGAAGTAGCCATAGAGAGTTAGAGGTAGTCCAGGAAATGCATAGAGAAATGCACAGGAAGTAGTGAGGAGGAACTCTGCGTTTGGAGGCTTTGGGTGGAAGGGAAGCTCTCTTGCTAGGTTGCTGACTAAGGAGGAAGGCCTGCTGGCTGCTTCTCCACCTCTCCAAGTTGGAGTATCTGACTCCTAAGTCTTTATGGGTAAAACAGAATGAGAGACTTAGTTGAAAACTACATTTGGCTGCAGATACAGAGGCAGCTCCTGCCGGATGCATTAGTCCAGCCAGGTCTGGGCCTGAGCAGTGCGGTGATTATAGAGTCACAGTCAGCAGCTGAAACAGCAGTAGATTCAAGTGCAGCTGGTGTACTGATGATAAAACAAGTTCTGGCCTTAAGCATTTGGGATCTGCACATCACAAGATAAATTTGCTACCTCCTCTGTCGCCACCAGCCCTCCTATCCATGGCATTCCCCCTTGCTTACTCAAGTTCAGAACTGCTGGTTCCTTGCTCTGTCTTGACCCTGCCACAGAACCATTAGTGGATTTTCCTCGTCACAACATATTCTCATTGCTAACTACTTTATCTCACTTAACTCTGACAAATACCATCTCAGCAAAGCCTAACTTTATCACCCTAAGACTGTAATTTGCAACCTTCATCGAAAGTCTTCTCCCTTGATACGCCCCATAGCATTTATTCTTGGGATGCTATGTAACTTATTGGGCTTGGCTCTGTCTCCCTCCCATCCTAATATGTAAATTCACAATACAGATAGGCAGGTGTTCAGCAAATTTATTGAATGAATACACAAAGCACCATTCAACTTCTTACTGTTCACTACAAAGGTCCTGAAGATTTTCTTACAACCATTCCTTCTTATTCAGGTGCCTCTTTTAGTCCTAACTCTAGGTTCTTCTTGGAAGGTTTCTAATAGCTATCTTCTGGTTAGATGTCTCATTTCTGTGCCTTGGTTGTCAACTTAACTATATCTGGAATGAACTACAATCCAGAAATGGAGGGAACACTTGTCATCTGGATCTTGAGGCTGGAAGACAACATGCCTTTTAAATCCAGACCTTGAGGCTGGAAGGCACACCTTTAATTTGGGCCACACCTTCTGCTGGAAGCCTATATAAGGGACAGATGGAACTCTCTGATTTCAAAGCCACCCAGGCCCTATCAAAAACAACACAAAAGAAGTAATATCAAACTTAACCACCCCACCTCCACAAAGCCAACTTTCTCTTTAGTGTTCTAGAACTTTTAGAACAAAATATAAAACTCCAGATCATCAGTCACTTTCTTAATTAAATAAACCAAATGCAATCTCTCCTTTGGCTCCTGAGTACTTTTCTAAATGTCTCTTGTGAATCAGAACCTGTAGCTGTTTCTCAGAACCACAGATTTCTGGCATGGGGAAGATTTCATATGCAACTTACTTTTACCCATTCACCTGAAGCTTGAATCTCCTTTACAAAAATCCTTACCAGTGCCCACCTGTGCTTTCTGTTGCCTGGGAAATACTGCCTTCTCTGGTGGCCATTTAACTTTTACTACAAAACTCTCCTTCATATTACGTGGACATGGTTCCCTTGTATTTGTTAGCTCTTCGAATTCTTAAACGATTTCTCTTTGTTCCTTCAACTATGGTAGTCTGTGGATGAAAATGAAGACACGACCCCTCCTAGGTATTGCTGAGAAGGGTTTTATTGCAGATATGAGGGGAAAGTACAGCCAGAGGCATCCGGAAGAGTCTAGAATGAACTGGACCATGGGAGGAGGGGACGGGGATTGAGAGAGGACAAGAAGGGGGGGAGCGGCAATCGGTCCAAGAGAGGAGCTGAGGACGGAGAGAGCAGGCTGAAATGGCCGGTTTAGATAGAAAGGAGAAGCTGTAGGAAAGGGAAGTGAAGCCCAGAGGTTTAGGGTAGGGGGCCGGGTGAGAAGCGCTGGGAGGAGCCACAGGCATGGAGTGAACCCTGCCCCTGGCTCGGGACCTGACAGTTTGTACTTCTCTAATCTCCTTTGTCCAAAGCTCTGTCCAGAACTCACTGCTACGCCCCCGTTGTGTCTGGAGCCCTAAAAAGGGCAGTTTCCATTTTACTCTTGCTCTGGTTGAATCAGCTGACACCAAAAGTCCGACTTAATAAAAGAACATCAACCTTTTTTTTTTTTTCTTGTTGGGTTCTGACTGCAGCTGCTTTGTCTGGTAGATACCATCAAGTTTGTGAGACCAAATGCCGGGCGTGCAGGTAGATCTATGGGTGTTTCTCTACACCATCTGAACAGGAAGCCACGCTGCGCTATGGTTCTTCTCCCACCGAACAGAGCAACAAAGCAATGCTTTGCATCTGGAAAGGCGTGACTGGAAACTGGGTTAGGCTGCCCCAAGCTTCCTAACCCAGTCTTCACCATCCCGAAGTAACCTGACCACCGCCCTGCGTTCCCGCCCTGCTCCTCACCATTCGCAGCATCTTCACAAAGCCTTTCACAGTCCTGTAGAACGGCTGTTCTGCGTTCTGCTGTTTAGGCTCCATTTCTCCCACAGACCCAACAGTCACGCTTCTCTGTCAAGCCTTCTCAGTTAATTGCTCTCTCTAGGACTCGCGCCACATCCTTAACTGCCACGGCTGGGCTAGGTAGCTGTACCTCTCCGGCGCAATTCCCGGCGCGCATGCGCACTAGTGCAAGCCGCCCACTCTCGCTCCGCCCGCTAGTTTTAAACTCCCAGTGCAAGCGCAGACCTGAAGTCAAGCTGGTGTGCCCCTCCCTGGCTCGGATCCACCAAAGCTCAGCCCAGAAACTTTCCTATGGAAAAGCGCTGTTGGAGTACGGGGAGGAAAACCCGCGGCCCCGCCTACGTGTCCTTTGAGCATCTCAAATGCCACCGCCTTAGGATTTCCCTTGTCCACCTTGTCTAGAACGGCCAATCATTCCTCCGCATTTTTTTTTTGGTAGCTCGTATAGGTTATAAGCATATCCCGTGAGAAAACGTTGATTCACTGGTAACAAGTTAGACTTAGGAGAAAGAAGTTCCTGTGTTTTGTTAGTGTGATTGACTATGGGTAATGAGAAAATTAAAAGCTACGAGAAATAAATTTGAGTTTTTTTCAGCACAGAAATTATTTTGAAGAAACAGACTTACCCTGATATGGATATTGCACAATGTGCACAAGTTACGAAACATTAGATGGTATCTTGCAAATATGTACAATTATGTACCAGTTAAAATATAAATTCTGCAAAGCAAAGATCTGTCTTATTCTCTCCTTGCAGGGTCCCTGGGGACTTGGGCACTCATCAACAGCTGTAGACTATGTAGCCTGAACTTGTGGCCTGGTCCTCCTAGTCGGGCCTTGCTCTCAGAATATACAAGTCTGTCTCTGGAGGACTTTTACCTCCTGCTGCTTGTTAGTTGCCCCACAGCTAGAAAAGCCTTCGGTTTATAAAGTGCTCCGGTGTAGCCTGAACTACACCATCTTGGATCATTTTTTAGACACAGGAAGCGTGTCTTCTCTATATGATTTGTCTTGTATAATTGGGTCACCACCTGTCCTAGTTTGTGTCTCTGCTGCTGTGAGAAATCAAACACTGGCCAAAAGCAACTCGGTAAAGGAGAGTTTGGCTTACAGGCTGCAGTCTATCACCAAGGGAAGGCATGGCAGGAATTCGAGGCTGGAAGCTGGTGGCAGAAACTGAAGCAGAGACCTTGGAGGATCTAAAGAATGCTTACTGGCTTCTTTTCTCTGGCTTGCTCTTGCATAGACACCTCAGAACTACCTTCCCCGGGAACAGCACTGCCCGCAGTGGGTAGTCCCTCCTTCATCAATTAGCAACAAGAAGATGCCACGCCCACAGACCAATCTGATGCAGCCAGTTTCACAATTAAGGCTCCCTCTTCCCAGGAGTTTCTAGCTTATGTTGAGCTGGGAAGAATGAACCAGCACACCACCCCCAGTTCATTTAGAACTCACTGGACCCTGCCCAGCTAAGACCTGTTCATTCTGCTGAATCTGATCAGCAGTTACCAGCAACCTCATCCCAACATGCTCTCGAAAAACCTTGACCTTGATTTTCATGATTATAATTGCCTTTGCTAGGTGCCTAGCAAATAAACAGGAAACCCAGTTATGGTGGTGACTTCTGGTGACGGATCAAAAGAGTACGACAGAAACTGAAGATGTCTTCAGAAGATGCCAAAATGACTGCTAGCATCTTGCAACCTGGAAGAAGTGGAAAACTTCTCTCCCCACACATTGTAACTGTCACATACACTCACGGTGACAACAGCTGGGTTGGTCTGGGACAGATACAAGCTGCACCTAACCTGGGTTTATTTTTGCTACTTGCTTACAAATGGGGGTTGTTGCATGCTCTCCAGCTTATCTTTTTTTTTGTTGTTGTTGTCCATTCAGTGAAGGTATTGGTTGTGCCTTCCTGAGGGGTCCACATTATAGTTCAAATGTTGGAAAAATCGAAGACTGTGAATTTGGGAAACAATGGCTTGCATCCCAGCTCCCCTCCTTAGTCCCTCACTTTGCTTTTTGTGATGAAGGGGATTAAACCTAGGGCTCTTTTAAGCAAGCCCAATTCCTTGAAGATGAGCTTGGAAAATGGGAATAACAATGTCTACCTGCAGAAATGTTAAAAGGAAAATCAGGACATCGTGTGGATGGAGCAGGCATCAATGAAATAATCTTATGTGCTAATGAACCAATCAGCTCCTAGCATTATTATCCATCCACTCTCCAAGTTTAGTTCGGCAAGGGGTGCATTCTACCGTCTGCATATTGTGTAATCCTCACTTTGGATCTTTTTCTGTCTAGCCTAGAGAAAAACCGCTAGTACCCTTTAAGGGGCGGGGCCAAGAGAGGGGTGGGATGGGGCTCCAATGCGCACCGGAAGGAAGTCGGGCTAGCACAACTACTAGAGGCTATGCTGCTGCGGCCGCTTCGTGGCTGGGCTGCCCGGTCGCTGCGTAGTGCAAGCCCCAGAAGTCCCGGAAACCTCCTTTCGGGCACCGGGCCGCTGTGGGCACCTCACCGCGCCTGGCCTCCGGGTAACTAGTACTTTTTGTGCCACCTCGTAGGGGCCGCTCTGGTCCCCTCCCCTGCAAGTCACCGGGCTTCCCCGGAGCCCTAAGGAACTGTGAGGACCCGCACTTGGGGTCCAAGCACGGCTTGTCGTCCCGTTTCCTGGTCAGATTCTCTAGGCCCTGGGGAGGAGGTGGGGCGGAAGCTGCTTTTGACCAGTTCGCAGTGGATGCAGGTGCCCGCGCACCTAGAGGGCGGGTTCAGGCTTCTGACTTTTTCCCCCCTTTTGCTGGCAGTAGGGATCCTCCTCTTCCAAGGGCTGCTGCTGGAGGTTGGCAGTATTGCCAACCCCGGCCTAGAGGACAGACTCCCTGGGTCCCAGCCCTAAGCCTAAGCCCACCGTCCGTCCTTCGGAATCTCCTGGGTGTAGGCCATTCCTTGTGTCCGCTGTGAAGATCTGAGCACGTCATCCAGGTGAAAACAGAAAGTAGACTCTACCAAGCGAAGGAAAGTAAGCAGGCAAGCACAAATGGTGTCACACACAAGACCCAGCCACTGAGGGTCCCGAGAATGGCAAACATTTTCTAAGTAAAGAAGCAAACATAAAAATGACTTTGTGTGGTTATCACATTAGCCCAGAGAAGAGAAAATAATTGAAACACCGATTTTCTTTTTTCTTTTTTTAGATAAAGATAGAGAAAATGATAAAGAGAGAAAAGCCGTGGTAAGTTCCTCTTTGCATGCATTCTCTGGTGTAGCATATATCTCCATTTTTTTCTTTTGAGCGGGAGAGAGTAGCAGTATGTGCACACAGTGAAAAAACAAGCACGAGATGATACTCCACCTCTAAACTACTAAACAGGGAAAGTGAGAGTAGGGGTAACTTTCAGTTAGTAGAGTGCTCAGCAAGCATAATGTAAGTTCCATTCTCTGCAGCAGAGAAAGATGTGGGGTACGTTCTCATCCACGTCAGTTATAATGGACTTGGCCCTTGGAGAACAGTGGAGTGAGTTGTGGCGTGGGCACAGAACTTTGGGCTAAACTGCTTGTGTTCTTCGACAGCTTGCCCTCCTGTATTTTTTTTTTTTTTTTGGTTTTTATGAGACAGGATTTCTCTGTATTGTTTTGGAGGCTGTCGGTCCAGCCCAGCCTCGAACTCACAGAGATCCGCCTGCCTCTGCCTCCCCAGTGCTGGGATCAAAGGCGTGGGCCACTACCGCCTGGCAATTGTGCTTATTTTTTCATTGACATTATGGGTGATTTTTTTTTCTGTGTGATGACTTAAATTTCTTCTGTGGGCATACACCCCTCATCAAATGTTTCTAGAAATCACTTTAAGGAGGATCCAGACACAGGCTGTGGTGGTGGCGCATGCCTTTAATCTCAGCACTGGGGAGGCAGAGGCAGGTGGATCTCTGCGAGTTCGAGGACAGTCTGGCCTACAGAATAGTTCTGGAACAACCAGGGCTGCACAAAGAAACTGTCTCAAAAAAAAAAAAAAAAGGAAAAGAACCCAGGGCAGAGGCTTTGTGGGGAGGGCATGGGAACTCAAGTTTGGATCCCCAGCCCTTGAATTAAAAGCACGGCATGTCATGCCTGTCATACCAGTGGCCTGTTAATGTGGCTACTGTCCAGTTCCAGAGAGACCCTGCCTCAGAAAATAAGGAGGAGAATGGTAGAGGAAGATACCAGGGAGGGGTGAGGGGAGTGCGGGAGGCGGGTCTGGTTTTCACATGCACATGTGTTAGTGCACATACCTGCCCACACTTGTGTACACTCATAAAAGAAGGATCTGAGCTGGGTGTGGTGGTGTATGTATGCCTGTAATCCTACTCAGAAGGCTGATTACAAGGATTACAAGTTCCAGGCTAGTCTCCACAGAGTGAACCCTTGCAAATAAATAAATAAACAAATAATAAATAAGCAAGTATCAGAAGCCTCCCTTTGCCTGCTCTTTTTTCCCTTGTGTTCCTATTTATATGTTGCTTGCTCTTCTATGAGGGGGTTGGGGAAAGGTGGAGCACTGGCTGAGCACATTTGAGGTCTATATTTACCCTCTCTTCAGGCTTTTCTGGTGGTTTTGAATGGTCTCTGAATAGCACTGAAGTCCTTGTAATGACCAGGAAAGAAGTATCAGGCGTAGGGTGATGTCCACATTGAGTTCCTTTTGGGTGTTCAGGGGAGAGCAGCAACAGAAGGCCCAGGAGTGCCCTGTGGGGTTTCTTCTTGCCTTTCACTTACTCCCTTGGATTCATTTTGTATTTATTCTGGGTCCTAAAGGCATGAACTGGCAGGGGCCTGGGATTAGAGGGTGGCCTGTCATCTGTGGGAAGTGCCATTGTCATTCTGGATACTTGTTAGGTTCAAGGCTGGAGACCTTTGCTGACAATCAACAGTGTACATGTTAGGGAGTTTTATATTGGCGGCCAATTGTGATAGGTGTTATATATAGAATGACAGGTGCCACTTAAGGTCATGAGAAGGGAGGTCTGTTGGGCCTGGGTATAAATTGCACCCACCTGCCTGGATTACCACCTTGGCAAGTCACCACATATCTGTGGGTACTCCCAGCCTGGGTGTGAAGTAACAGGCTACTATATGGTAGAGTATGTACTTCTCTGTGTGACCCAGAGGATGTGTGACAGTGTTCTTAAGGACCAGTTTGTTTTATGATGAGCTGTGTACCCCTTGTGATTTGCTAGAACCAAAACCACTTGGTCTGTGTCAGCAGGGGTGCCAGGCTGAGCCTTAGAATTGTTGGGCATACCTCCCCAGGTGGCAGCCTCATGCCTAGGGTATAGGTTCAGTCTGTTTTCCCTTATTGGGCCCCTTGTGCTTTTTCTGTTACTGCTAAGTGGGACCTTGAAGGGTTGCTGAGGCAGGGTGTTAGCTTGCCACTCAAACTCCTAGACTGAGCCAAGTGTACTGTTTATCCTCACCTACTTGTTCCCTCACGTTCCTCTGGATGCTTGATTTCTAACCCTAATGTACATCTGTCTTCTGCCAGGTTTGTGTTGAGGGCAATATTGCAAGTGGGAAGACGACATGCCTGGAGTTCTTCTCCAATACAGCAGACGTTGAGGTATGGCACTCATGCTGGGTTGGAAGGAACCTGAAATGCCTCAGTGGGATAAGTTATGCAGAGCACAGATAGCCCTGTCCAACAGAGGGAGGATGCTAGCCGCTAGTGCACTTCACATGTGTGATCTAGTGCTTTTGAAAGCCTCATGGAATGAAGCAAAAAGAGCACTTTGAGACACCCCAGATATTGGTGTGTCAATGTGAAGACAGTATTAAAGTGATAAATGAACTGTTTCCCTTCTGTGCTTTATACTACACCCGTGGGAATCAGCATTTGTTTAACACAGTATTCTCAATTTGAACCTCAGATAGTTCTCAAGATTTTTCAGCTTAGGGTTTTTTTTTATTTATTGATCTATCTATCTATCTGACTATCTATCTATGTATCTGACTATACAGTACTGCCAAAGCACTATACATTCAGTAGAAACTATACTGTGATACCCAGTAGACTAGTATATTTAAAGCATTTTCTTTCATTATTTTGAGACAAGGTTTCTGTGGGGTTTTTGTTGTTGTTGTTTTGTTTTCTTTTGTTTTTTAAGGTTTCTGTGTTTAACAGCCCTGGCTGTCCTGGAACTCACTTTAGACAAGGCTGGTCTCAAACTCACAGAGATCTACCTGCCTCTACCTCCCCGGTGCTGGGATTAAAGGCATGCACTACCACTGCCTGACTTATTTAATGCATTTTCAACTTGGTCTATTTTTCAAGTGGGGACATAGCCCCCTTGTAAATAGAGAAACATCTGTGGTGAATTTCAAGGTTATAGTTACATGTGGCTTGTGACTCCTGTGTTGGGCAGTGCGTGTACAGATCTCGCCATAGTCTGGTTAGGAAGAATCTATGTGTGAGAGTAGAGAAGGCAGGCAGCCTAGCTTTCAGTTATCCGTGTCTAAGCAGGTAAGTAGCACCATGTGCAGCTGGTTATGTATTTCTAGTTCATCTAAAATTCAGCCACCAAGAATAACTGCAAAGATGTTTAAGAGTCGCCTCTCTCCACGGAGTGACCCCCATTCTCTGTTCTAGTTTTTAGTGTATTGTATCTCTGTGGTTACAGAGATACAGTTCTTGTCTGAAATGTTTGGGATCTGAAGTGTTTCAGATTTGGATTGTTTTTCAGACTTTGGAATATTTGATATAGAATATAATGATCTTAGAGGTGAGACCCAAGTCTAAACATTTATTCGATTTCAGATTAGGGATGGTGAAGCTGCATTGCAGATCTTATAGTTTTCCCACTATTGCTGCTTCTCTCTGTCCCTTCCTTCTTTCCTCCTTCACCCCCTCTACTAAAGAAATTATGTGGTTTGATAAGATAGTAACTGTTTTCCAGCCCTGGTCTCGTTTGTGTTCATGTGCTGTTGTGCAGAGAAGTGTCATCATTGCAGGCACTGGACAGCTGCTTCCAGGTCTGCTCACAAGGTTGGCCTTGGCCGGCACATGGAAACATAGGTCTAGGGAGGATTCCCTCCATTCCTGTCTGAGAAAGGAGCTTTTTGTGCCTGGTTGCAGACAGTATGGATTATCCCAAACAACTGCTTGTGGGGAACCTGAGGTTCTGGTGTGATAGCCTGTGCACCTATGATGTCCCTGAACTCCCATATCTAGGTCTACTTCCTTGGTAGACAGCATTTCGCATGTGCTGTTACAATTTGTTGCTGGGAAAGTTAAGACGTGTGTCGTGTGATTCCACTGGGCAAGGATACTTGGGAGGTTAGCCTGTTTCCCTCCAGGTACATTTCCTCTGCAGATTTGGTGCTGTGTTCTCTCCTGGCAGCTAATACTAGCTGTCAGTGTTGGATGATGTGTCTCATCAATCATCGGACCAGAAAAGGGTATCTTAGGGTCACAGCACTTGAGTAGGGAACCTCTCGAGAAACGTGAAAAGTGCTTATGTTCTCACTGTAGACCTCGGAGCCAGTTAACAGCAGTAGCGGCAGCAATTGCTACTATCCATCCAGTGCACCGTGTTAAGTGTTTATGGTATTATCTAACTGATTCCATGCTTATATACATAACCTCTCTGAGGTAAGTCCTATTACCTCTGTTGAGAAGAGGAAACCAAAGGATAATTGGCTTAATTTTAGGTGACAGCTTGACTGAATTAAAGACTACAGCAGCCTCTCACACTCAGATACGGTTTCATTTTCTGTGGTTTCAGTTACCTGAGGTCAACCAGGATCTAAAAATATTAGGTAGGACATTCTAGATTTAAACAATTCATAAATTTTAAATTATGCATTGTAGTATGATATACCCAATGAAGCATCAAACCATCTCACTCTGTCCCATGTGAACCATCCCTCTGTCTAGCATAGGGAAAAAAAAAACATGGCATGTACTAGACTCGTTGTGTCCGAAGCGTCAGGTATCCACTGGGATCTTGCAACACACCCCCATGAACAAGGAGGCAGGCACTGTGCCTGGACAACTACTAAAGCATTATTTCTGCACATGTTTAGATGGGTTTCCAGGGGAAACTGATATGTAAATTGGTGGGCTTACTAAATAGGGACTATGAATGGGGACCTGTAATTAGCTACAGGCCTGGATAGAACAAAAAGGGAAAGAAAAGAACATCCTTCCTCTTCTCCCTGCTGTGGGACATCAAAACTCTAGGTTTTCCAGCCTTGAGACTTTGGGACTTAGCCAGCGGCCCCAGGTTCCAGGGTCTTGGTGTCATACTTAATATTAAACCAATGACTTCCCTGGTTTTAGTCTTTGGACCTATACTGAGCTGTGTCACTTGTATCCCTGAAATCCCAGGTTTAGACAATCTGTCACAAGACAGAGTTCTTAGCCTCCTTAATTTCATGAGTCAGTTTTGCTAATGAGTTCCTACTCGTATGGGAATTTCTGTGTCCATGTAATTGGATCTGCCCCGTAGAGGGAGAGCCCTGACCCATACAATAGTGTGTATTGGGGCCAGGTCCCAGCTCAGGCTGCGAAACTTCAGGGATGCCACCCTTGCTTGTCTCCAAGTTACGAAGAGCTTGGTTGACCTTGGTAAACCTACTCCCCTTTAGACTGAGGTGGTTTTCAGTTATTTACAGGTCACATCTGGAGTCACTGGAAGGTCCCACTTAGAAGCTGTGGCCTTTCAGAGGCCTAGCTTGTTTGGCCTACCCTTGACACCCAGACAGTAGTGTCTGTCTGTCTTCCAAACTTGGCACACTGTCACAGCATGTTTCCGTTCCTTGCAGGTGTTAATGGAGCCTGTGCTCAAGTGGAGAAATGTCCGAGGCCACAATCCTCTGGTGAGTGCTTTGCTTCTTGTCCAGCTTCCCTGTGAGTACCTAGGAATGGCGGTGCTGACACCTGAGCCCAGGCAAACCCACTCTTTGTCCCCACTGTTAGAGGATGGCAAGCCAGGGATTTCTGAGGTCTGGACCGGTGTGCACAGCCCAGGAACCTCCTGTCAGCTGTCTTTAAGGGTTCCAAGTGGCGTTGCTTTCCTTGAACCTAGTTGTAGGTCATCAGGTTTCTGGATGACCCTCTGATTTGGGTTTGGGCTTCTATTTAGTAATGGATCCCCTGTTTACCCTGAAGCCACCTATCTTCATTCCCAAAGAGGGCCTGGACAGCAGGGACCATAATGTGCATGGGCCTCCTCTCCCTCCTCCACTCAGAAGGCCCCATGCTTCCTGCTTGAAAATGATGGAGAGAAAGCAGACCCCAGCAGAGGGGATGAAGAAAGGGATCTTGGTTCTGGGCTCCATGCCATGTTCTAGGGGTGCTTAGTGTTTCTCAGCTAAGACAACTGTAGTGTTAGCAGTACCTTGCAATACTCTGACAATACCTCATGGAGTTCATTAGACTCAGTTCCACAGCAGCAGCAGCTGTGTCCACTGTGCTGCCTGGTGTTTGCTAGGACACAGCTGCATTGCCTAGCCTTTAGTATCTGCTTGCCCATTCCTTCAGCAAGCATTTATCACATGCCTTCTATGTGGTAGACACTGTCTTCATGCTAGGACACTGCACACTATAAACAAAGTCTCTGGTCCCTGGCGCTAATATCAGTATGGAGATGAAGGAGACAGTTAGATATAGGAATGTGGTGGGTGAGTGTGGGTGAATTCTCATCAGAGAGGCTTCACTCAGAGACCCACAGCAAAATCTTACATGGAGCTTGAAGAATTCTGCAGAAGAGAGGAAGAAAGGATTGTAAGAGCCAGAGGGGTCAAGGATACCACAAGAAAACCCACAGAATCAACTAACCTGGAATCATAGGGGCTCACGGAAATCGAACCAATAACCAGGGAGCCGGCATGGGACTGACCTAAGCCCTCTGTATATATGTGATAATTATATAATTTGGTTTATTTGTTGGACTTCTAACTGTGGGAACAGGGGCTGCTTTTGGAACCCTTTCCTCCTAATGGGTTGCCTTGTCCAGCCTCAGCATGAGAGGCACCTAGTCTTACTGCAACTTGATATGCCATGGCTGGTTGATATCTTGGAGCCCTGCCCTTTCCCCAAGAGAAACAGAGGAGGAATAGGTGGGAGTAGAGGGTGGGGGAGGGAATGTGGTAGAGGGGAGGAGGGGAAACTGTGGTCTACCACAAAATAAAATATAACAACAACAGCAACAAAAAAAATCTATAGTTTTGGGCTGGGAACACTTAGTCTTAGAATGCCAACATTGTACTGTGACAGGATATGTGCTGGAGATCTAAGGTACAGAAAAAACGAAAACAACAAAACACAGAAAGAATATGGTGGGTTGTGAAGAGAGCTACAGCACTCAAAAGACCGATAGATGAGACAAAAGCTCAGAGTCTTTGAGTAAGAATTGCACAGAGCTATGACAAGAATTTGACTTGTGTGCACATGGGAGTAGACGAATTGTCAGCACCATCTTTGGGTTTTACAGAGAAAGCCCATTCATATTTTCTAGAAGCCAGAGAGGAACTAGGGCTTAATTATCAGGTGAGACAACTGAAGTTTCAGATGTCTGGGACTAGAGGAGACACTTTAGAGACCAGAAATACAGTCTCTGAAGGTTGCGCTATGAAGGTGTTGTCATCATTATCAGATGTATTTCCACAACTTTCTGCTGGCCAGAAGAGCAAGACTGATGTTTGTGTGACAGTTCCTGGCTCACCGCACTGGCCACTGATGCAGAAAATTACTTGTTTCTGCAGTCATCCTTTCACCCATAATTAGGGGAGCCTTTAGTTTTCACGCTGAGCACTTGAGTGTCATGAGTTTACACCAAGAGGAAAAAGGGAAACAAAACCTGCAGAAAAGAAGCTGGGTGTGGCGTCACATGCTTATAATCTCAGCACTCTTGGACATTGAGGCAGGAAAATCCTGAGTTACTGACCATTCTGGCTGTATGGTAAGACCCAGCCTTCCCTTCCCTCCCCCACCCTGCTCCCCCCAACAACACAACACACACATTGCAGAGAGAGAAGCAAAAGATTCTTAGTGAGCAAACTGGAGAAGGATGTGTTTTTATCTGTAGGTAACAGAATGATTGTAGCTGGCCTCGATTTTATGTAGGGTAGGTAGGAGAATGCATCTCTTGTCATGTGACATTTGGGCAGAGACCCCCACGTGTGGGAGGGAGCACTGCAGACATCTGGAGGAAGAGCTAAGAGGCAGGTTCAAAGGTCCTGAGATGGTTCCTGCTTGGCCTGTTTGCAGAACACTAGGGAAGCTTGTGTGGCTAGAAGCTGATTGGCCAGCGGGAGAAGGAAAAGAGACAAGAGGATGACAGTGGATTTCTAGGCCTGTGGACCAGGATGGGGGTTTGGATTTTATTTGGACACAATGCAAAATCCCTAGCAGGTTTGGAGCAGAGGGAGACATTAACAAGCACACTTTGGCTACTGGATGAAGAATACAACACAGGGGAACACAAAGTCAACTATGAATGTCCGAGTGCTTGTTCCTCAGGGGGGGTTTCCTATAACTGAATTCACATCTGTGTCTGTCCACCCTATTCCGAGAGCCCTGTAGCTGTCCTGAGTCTACCTCTGGCCCCAGCCCTGCCATGTAAGTTTCCTGACACTGCTTTCAGTGACTGGTAGACCTGGGGCCCCCACTTGCCGCTTGGACGCAAAGGGCTTCATTTTTTGTTCTGCAGGGTCTAATGTACCGCAATTCCAGTCGATGGGGCCTCACACTGCAGACTTACGTGCAGCTCACTATGTTGGACCAGCACACTCGTCCTCAGGTACAGTTCAGGTCTCGCTTCCATCCTTATCAAACAAAACATCCTTCATCCTTCAAGTTTAGGGTGTTGTCAGATGGGGAAGTCTCACAAGGAAGTCTGTTTGGCTTTCATGCTGTACAGTCTTCTGTGACTACAAGGTCTCCTGTCCCCACAGGTGGCTGTCCTGCTGCCTCCTGAGCTCATGGTTTTGTAATCCTACTACTGATAGACTTAGTATCATTTAACCAGAGTGTGTTCCCTGGACTGCAGCTGCACTGTCACCTAGGGACTTGTTAGGATTGTACATTTCCTGGCCCCTCTCCAGAGCTACTGAATCAGAAAATCTAGGACTGAGGTCTAGCAGTCTATCCTTTCTCCAGCTGTCCAGGACTCCTACATGCATGTTCTGTGTGTCTGTGTGTTTAAGAACTGTCGATCAAACCTTCATGGAAATGGGCTTTCAGATTCTTTCAAGAATCTGATTCACCTTGGGTCACAAATGGCTGGCACTGGGTTAACCAAGTGTTGGGACTGGACAGGATATTCAGGGCTACTTAGGCCCTTGTATCAGCAGGGGTAGATTGTCTTGGGGGATAAGGTGACAAGGGAGACTGTGACTGACACCTATGGGTATGAGTGACACCTATGGGCAAAGCTTTATACACAGCTAGAGCCTTTCCATGTATGATGCAAGACACCCCTATAGCCATTTATATTGGCAGTATCGTTAAGCTGAACAGTTTGACCCAAACTGCTGGTTACCTATAGCTGTAGTTACCATTCTTCTTTTGACATAAATCTGCATCTTTTCAGGTTGACAGATGTGAATAGAATCTTTGGGCAAATATGCATTTCTCCTTCTCCAAATGTTCCCCTAAATGATAGAGAGCAGAGCATCTGCAGGTATCACCTTTCCCCTTGGCTTGCTCTGCTTTGCCTAAGTGGGCACTCTAGATTATATCTAGTGATATGGGAATATTATGGGATACGGGCAGACACCTGCTAAGGAGGCAGAGACAGAGCTGGTTGGACTGAGCAGGAGAGAGATGACTGCAGAGGGAGCCAGAAGAAGACAGGCAAAGGAAGATAGGAGCAGCATGCCCAGAAAGGAGAGGAGGAAAGATGGGTGCACAGAGTTCCAGGAGGGCAGGTAGGGAAGCAGAGAGTGGCTTGTAGGTTTGAGTGTGCCTGTGGCTGCTGTGGGTGGGCCACACTGTGTCTGTCCACTAGGTGTCAGGGTTGACGTTCCTCCTGGGAAAGATGATCCACGAAGGGTGTGAGCAGCTTGCAGAAAGGTGATGTCCAGTCATCTTCTCCCCTGCTGGGCAGAGGACTTCCCAGTTCCAGCAGGCAGAGCCTCCAGAATGCCTCCCTAACCCTAGCCTCCTGGGGCCCTGTCTCAGACACTCGGTCCTCAAGTAAACAAGTTCCCCGTCTCAGGGTTCCACTTACCAGACCGTGTCAATTGGACAATACTTGGCAGCTTTGCTAGCATGTTCCCTATCCCTACTGAGTCAGTCTCCCTGCTCCTGGGAAAGAGGTGTTGTGTGGCTGGCAGCCCGACGTGCGCCTCCCCGCCTCCACTGCTGTCTCTACTGTCCTTCGTCCTTTAAACTTCAGGATGGGTCAGCTCAGGATGGAGGGAGATCCACATGGCAGATGTGACTTCTGCCATCCTCTTGTCCTCTCCTCACAGTCTTATGTTAGCAAAGATGGAAGGGACACTCCAAAGAGAGGGGTGGGACAAGTTTTCAGGGTTTTCTGCATCCTCTTCTTCACCTGAGAATAAATCACTTTTTCCATTCCTTTAGATGTCACCTGTACGGTTGATGGAAAGGTCAATTTACAGCGCAAGATACATTTTTGTAGAAAACCTGTATAGAAGGTACTGTAGTTTATATAGTCCATTATAGTTTTTTCCCATGTGCATTTTTTATTTAATTTAGAAACAGTTTTATTTTATATATCCCAGTTCCCACTCCCTTCCATCCTATCATGCCCACACCGACCCCCATCCTATCCCTTTTCTGCTCCATAGAAAGGGTGAGGTCTTCCATGGGGGATCATCAAAGTCTGTCACATCATTTGGGGCAGGGCCTAGACCCTCCCCCATGTGTCTAGGCTGAGAAAGTATCCCTCTACGGGGAATGGGCTCCCAGTGTCCATTTGTACACTAGGGATAAATACTGATCCACTACCAGAGGCCCCATAGACTGCCCAGGCCTCCTAACTGACACCCACAGTCAGGGGACCTGGTTCTGTTTTATGCTGTTTTGTTTTTTTTTTAAACTCTTTAATCTTTAGGGTCCTGCCACTCTGCTCCCAGATAAACACATGGAGACTTAGTCTTACTTATGAATGCCTAGCCTTAGCTTGACTTAACTTCTAGCCAGCTTTTCTTAACTTAAATTATCCTGTATACCTTTTGCCTCTAGGCTTCTACTTTTCTCTATTTTTTATCTTTCTTTACTTACTATGTTGCTGGCTGTGTGGCTGGGTGACTGGCCCCTGATGTCCTCTCTCCTTCTCCTTTTTTTGCTCCTCCCACTCTCCTTCAATTTATTCTCCCTGCCCACCAGCCCCATCTATTTCTTTCTCCTGCCTAGCTGTTGGCCATTCAGCTCTTTAGTAGACCAATCAGTGTTTTAGACAGACAAAGTACACAGTTACACAGAGTTAAACAAATGTAACATAAAAGAATGTACCACATCTTTGTATCATTAAACAAATATTCTATAGCATAAAAGAATAATACATCTTTAATATTCTACAAAAGTTCATTTATTAAACCACTGATTTTATATATGTATATATAACTCCTCTCTCTCTCTCTCTCTCTCTCTCTCTCTCTCTCTCTCTCTCTCTCTCTCTCTCTGTGTGTGTGTGTGTGTGTGTGTGTGTGTGTGTGTGTGTGTGTAGGCCAAAGGATAACCTTGGATGTTAGTCCTCAAGAGCTATCTATATTGCTTTAAACTTTTTTTTAGATTTTTTTTTAATTTTATGAGTGTATGAGTGGGTTTTTTTTTTTTTGCTTACATGTCTGTATGCATACTATATGTCCTGTGTTCACAGAGGTCAGAAAAGGGTATTGAATCTTCACAGACATGTGGGTACTTCCTGGAAACCAAACCCAGCCATCATATGTCTAAAGAGGCCACCCAGGCAGTCGTGTGGTAAGCCCTGTGGGCTGAGGAATTGACTGCAAAGATTTTCCAGGACTGCCTGGCCCTCCTTTCTTAAGGACAGGAGTAGAGGAATGCACTGAGGCCCAGCTGGGGACATGGCCTTGACTCACCTGACACAACAGCAGGCAGGCTCCCCCCCACCGCCCCTGCCCTGGCCCAGAACCAGGAGGCCTGGCCACAGAAACAGTGTGATCCAGGTTAGCTCCACTGTTGACAGCAGAGAGGGCAACTCATGCAGTGGAGAGCAGGTGGGACTGAGGTGAGGCTTGGGCCGGAGCTGGCCTTAGCAGGTCCTATGAAAACAACAGGAAATGATGTATTTAAGTGTCAAGTTTCTGTTTTAATTTGTTTGAGACAGTGTCTCATTATGCAGCCTGGGCTAGTCTGGAACTACGAAGTTTTACATAGCCCAGGTTGGTGTCAATCATGAGATCTTCCTGCTGCAGCCTCTTAAGTGCTAGGATTACAGGGGGGGTGGCACAACACACAGCCTGTGATTTGGTTTCTTGAGTATCAGGTACTTTCAGCTGAACTAAATACAAATGTGGTATAAAATGATACTAAACAGTGGAACCATCACTGGCTCAGATGATGAGTTGATTTGGTGTCTCTGTTTTGGTTAGTACTATTGCTGTGATGAAACACCATGACCAAAAGCAAATGGGGAGGGCTAGGCTTTATTTCACTCACAGTTCCATGTAACAGTTCATCATCAAAAGCAGTGAAGGCAGGATCCTAAGCGGGGCAGGAACCTGGAGGCAGGAGCTGATGGAGAGACTCTGGAGGAGTGCTGCTTACTAGCTTGCTCCCCATGGCTTGCTCAGCCTGCTTGCTTATAGAGCCAAGAACTACCAGCACAGGGATGGCAGGCACTACCTACAGTGACTGGGCCCTCCCCCGTCAATCATTAGTTAAGAAAATGCCCTACAGCTACATCTTATGGAGGGAGGCATTTTCTCAATGGAGGTTTCATCATTTTGAATAACTCTAGCTTGTATCAAGTTGACATAAATTTACCCAGCATGCTCTGGCTCTGCTTCTCTGTATTTCCCACTGTCTTACTCCTTTCCTCATTATGAACCTGTCATGGTGACGAAATAGTTATGGAAGTATACCCCTATCATACTCTTCTGCCTCATTGGTTCAGTTTGGGTCCTTGTGGTAGGAACAAACACTGTACTGGACTAACTCAGCTTCATTTCTAGAACCCGTCACCTGACTTGGGGAAATGGAGGAATTTATTCCAGTAAACCCACTGGGCCTCCCTAAAGTTCAGGATAGGATCAGGTTTCTCTGAAGCACTAGAGCCTGTGGGATAGCTATAATTAAGTCATAGGTGACTTTAGAAGGAAGAGGAGGGACTGACAGAGGCAGCCAGCTGTCCTCACACCTCACCAGCTCTTGGGTACAGTCTTTTACCTTATGTTTGGTGCTTGTATTCGATTCCAGAGTCCCCTCTGCAATGTGGATTAGTCAGGGTTCTGTAGAGGAACAGAATTTATACAATGAGTCCCTTCTTCCCCCCATGTCTACACACACACACACACACACACCCACACACACACACACACACATGCACGCACGCACGCATGCGCGCACACACACACACAGGAGATTTATTAGAATAACTTACAGGCTATGGTACAGCTAGTCCAATAATGGTTGTTGTCTTAGGGTTTTATTGCTGTGAAGAGGCACCATGGCCACAGCAACTCTTATAAAGAAAACGTTTAATTAGGACTAGCTTATAGTTTTTATCATTATTATCATGACAGGAAACATCACAATATGTAGGCAGACATGGTTCTGGAGAAGGAGCTGAGAGTTCTATATCTGGATTGCCAGGCAGCAGGAAGAGAACTTGCTTGAGCTTCTGAGACCTCAATGCTCTGCCTCCACAGTGACACATCTTCTCCAAGAAATTGATGCCTACTCCAACAAGGCCATGCCTCCTAATAGTGATACTCCCTATGGGCCTATGGGGACTTTTTTTTTTTTTCTCAAACCACCCTAGCTGTCTACCAGTGCAAGGTCTAAGAATTTAGTAGTTGTTCAGTTTGCAAGGCTGACTGTCTCAGCTGATCTTCAGTTTATACAGTAATCCTGAAAACATGGGCTCTAATGCCAGTGAAGGAATGGATGTGCCCAAGAGAGTTAAGGGCGAGCAGGCAAAGAACAAAAGCTTCCTTCTTCTGTGTCCTTATCTAGGCTGCCAGTAGGTGTGGCCCAGATTAAAGGGGGGATCTTCCCACTTCAAAGATCCAGATTAAAAGTGGGTATTCCATTTCACGTGACTTAATTAATGTGAGGACTTAAGTCCCTCACAGCCACTTGGGTTTTCGTTAATCCCAGATGCAGTTGAGTTGACAACCAAGAATAGTCGTCAGTAAGTGGCATAGGAGTCTCACCTCCCACCTTTCCCAGTTACTTGAGGCTTGCTAGCCTCAAGTGTGTTCACCTTCTCTTGTTTCCTTTCTGAGGACTACTGGTGACCTGCCCTGCTGTTCTCATGGGCTACTCTGTTAGGCTCCCCTCTGCTCTGCAGAAGGCATCCTGGTGGTCTCAGGGACCAGGGGAGAGTGTCCTGTTCCAGGCTGTGATAGACCCTGTGTTTTGTTTCCAAAACAGGGCTGCCTAGAGCCTCATCTCCTAGACAGCCTGGGTCTAAAAAGATTTTCCAGCTTTTTATCATTTTTGTGGACTATCGATTTAACTATGTAAAGATGTGCTGCATTTGTTTAACTAAGCAACAATGTGTTACATTTGTCTATGTTGCAAATGTTTAATTATGTATTGCATTTGATTTACCTTGCCTGCTTAAGGCACCTGATTGGCCTAATAAAAAGCTGAGTGGCCAGTAGCTAGACAGTAGAGGGACAGGAGGGGCTGGTGGGCAGAGAGAACAAGTAGGAGGAGGAATCTAGCTAGGCTCAAGAGAAGAGACAACGAGGGAGAAAAGGAGACATCTGGGGCCAGGCAGCCAGCCAGCCAGCCAGCAGCCACCTAGACACAGAAAAAGCAGGAAAAGTAGGACATACAGAATAAAAGAAAGGTGAAAAGCCCCGAAGCAAAATGTACATGAATGGAAACAAGTTAAGTTAGGTTATAAAAGCTGGTAGGACAAGCATAAGGTAAGGTCAAGCATTCATAATTGATAATAAGTTTCCATGCCATGATTTGGGAACTGGTTGGTGACCCAAAAGAAAGCCTGCTACAAACCACCTTCCCTCTTCCTCCCCAGGGCCACAGTTGCTTCTTCCCTCCTGTCAAGACCCTCCCTTTCTAGCACACAGCCTGGACACCTGTTTTCTTTGCAGCCACTGGTCATACCCAGGCTGAGTGGGTCCCACAAGATGATACAGGTAGAAGACACTCAAAGAGAAGACTCTTCCATGCCCTGTGTCCTCTAGCTGTGACCACTCTTGTGTGTGTCTCTGTCTTCTCTAGGCAGAGGGTACCCTAAGAATACCATAAGTAGAAGCCAGGTCTACCCTTTCTTTGTCCCCCATATTCATTCCCCCCCACCCCCTGTCTGTGTGTCTCCATCTCTCTCTATCTGTGTGTGTGTGTGTGTGTGTGTGTGTGTGTGTGTGTGTGCGTGCACCAAATGAGGACACTGAGTCCCACTCTATCACTTTCTGCCTTATTCTCTTGAGTAGGGTCTTTGACTGAACCAAAGCTTGCCTTTTGAGTAAACTGGCTGGTCAGAGAGCTCTATCTGTCCCTGCACCCCAGTGCTGGGTTTATAGGCACATAGGTTCATGCCTAGTCCCCCACCCTGAAGCATAGGAAATTGCACCCAGGCAGTCATGCTTGCAGAGCAAGCACTCTTATTTACTGAGCCACCTTCCCAGCTTTGCTTTTTAAGATTTAACATCTAAAATACACAATAGTGCCACACCCCGCTCTTGTTTTTGAGTACTAGTGTGTTGTTCAAATTTGAAAGGAGCAAAAGGAAACCATCCACAGCTGTAGTTGAGTAGTTCTATCACTCAGAGGAAAGCACTGTGAACGTTTTGTGTATTTGTAGTCATTTCAAATGTGTGGGCATATGCTTCTTTTATATGGTTGGGGCATATGTGTACAGTTTAATCTCCTGTGCTCATTGAGCATTAGTTTTATAGCCTTTTCCCACTCTGTGTATGACTTTACTACACCATTCTTTAGCCACTATGTGCTTTCCTGTTGCAGAGATAGACCAAAACTTCATTTCTCATTAGGCTGAACTGTGTATGGCAAGCATCCATGAATATTTTCATAGAAAAAAAGTTCTAGGAGTAAAAATGATTTGCTGATCCACTCCTGACTTGAAGGATTTCTTCATGCTCACAGGACAGACAAAAGTGCTCTTATCTGCTTGAAGTTCGATTGGTCAGTGCCATGGCCAGTCCCTATCCTCTGGTGATGGAAGGTCAAATAGATGTTCAGGGTCCTATTAGTCCTGCATGGCCATCATTTGTGTACCACACTGTACAACGTGCTCTTGGTGGTGCTGTTCCGAATAGAAGTCACCCCTGGTTCCTTTGGGGAAATGACACAGAACATGGGTGAATAAAAACCTTCGAATTCTCATTGCAGTGGGAAGATGCCTGAAGTTGAGTATGTGATTCTGTCTGAGTGGTTTGATTGGATCATCAGGAACATTAATGTCTCCATGGACCTGATAGGTAAGACCGTCTCTCCCTGTCCCCTAGTAGAGCATCCCCTGGGCATAGCTGGGGCTTATTTGTGAGGTTCCACGCTTGCAGAGCCAGCAGGAAGGGACACCTGCCATCCATGATTCTGTCTCCATCATAGTTCCCTAAAGGCAGGCAGAATTTAAGTATTTCTTCTTCCTGTGAAGAGCTCTGGCCGTGGTCTCTTAACCTTCTTTCTTCTGGTCAACGACTTCCAGGTCCCTGCTCTTTCTGATCTGATGGCTCTTTTGTGTTGTGTGGGGAGGGACGGAAACTGGACAGTGACTGAAGTCAGAGGCTTGCCAGGCCCTGTGTAGGAATTCCTTTAAGCTTCGTGATGACACCTTGCGGCTGAGGACATGGCAATGAAAGGAGATTGGGGGCTGAGGGTCAAGGCTACTGTTGGTCATGCAGGGGCTGTGGGAGACTGAGAGGCTTGGGCCGAGGCTCCTGCTGTTACTAAGGTAGTGTCTCTCTACCCCAGCACCTGTGCTGTCCTTGTCTTTGCTCCCACACCAGGGACACAGCAGTCAGAGCCACTTGTGTTTTTAAATCTCAGTTTATCTTCGAACCACTCCTGAAATCTGCTACCAGAGATTAAAGACGAGGTGCAGGGACGAGGAGAAAATCATTCCAATGGTAAGAAGCTAGAACCCTCCCCCTCCTGCTAGCACTCCCTCCTGCCCCACACGACATCATCGAGGTTATCTGTAGCAAGAAACAGAAAGTACTACCGAGGGCAAGCTCCAGCTTCCTGTGTGGCTTTGGAGCCCTTGTGGGTGCTAGGGCTGCTCTGCTTCCTGTGGTTCCTGACTCAGGCTTCTGTACACCATGGATATGCACGTTTGCTCTCGTATAGTAGTTTGTCTTCACAGACATGCGCAGACAAACACGTACTCACACTCCCATGGACTTACGCAAATGTGCCTTTGCACGGTAGTTTCTTTGTCTTTAGCTATGATGTCACTTTCCTGACCTTCCTTCCACTGCCCTTCTCTTGCCCCTAGGCCTCCTACAGTCACAGCCTGCAGGACAGCATGTTGACAGTGTTGGTTCCCAATTTTCTTTACACTGAACACTTTTAGATTTGGTCTTACTTCCTCTGTCCTCAACATATGTCCTGGGCCTGGCACTTAGCAGTTGCTCGGGTATTATTGGACTGTGGACAGTTGTCCTTGAGAAATAGACAGGGGTTTGGCAAGCTCTTTTGGGACATCATGATGCTTTGGATGCAGGATGGGCTGGACTGGGGCCCTGAAAGACTGGTCTAATCCCTAAAGCCCGGCTGAGTTTTGCCTTGGACCAGCCATTACAGCCCAGGCCTGCTCTGGGCTTTTCCTTTGACATCTCAGAGATGGGACTGATCAGCACCATGGAACTGAGCTTAGGTCGTGCTGTGATGGGGTTGGCACTTCTGTGCTCTATTCAGCAACTCAGATATTCCCAAGAAATGTCACATCTGGAGTTCTTCCAAGCCATTGTCCAAGGGGTGGAACTAATGGTTTTGACAAGGTCTTTGGGACAAGCTTGGTTCCTAGTGCTCAGGGGAAGTCCAGTGGTGTGTAAGAAGGTGGCAGCATGTTTTGTGGGCCAGCTTCTGGAATGGAGGGCAGAATGCTGTTGGGGGAGGTTCTGGGATAGCCAGTGTACACTGGCTGAATGGCTGAGAGAGCTTGTGGGTAGGGCTTCCCAGCATGGCGGTAACAATGGCTTGGGGGCATCTGTCTCCTTTCCTTTCCCTCGTGCTACCCCACAGAAGTGGTCTCTGTGGGCTGGAGAGTCTCTCTAATGAGTGACCTACCGAGAGAGTTTAGTAAGGGGAGAGGTTCAACTAGATCCTTTTGGTGACAAGCCAGAAGGAAGGTGTAGAGAAGTGGCAGGGAATGGAGGTCCCAGGCAGGGAGCTGTGCTTTTAAACTGGGCGAGGGAAGGCCAGTGGGTGGCTGGGGATTCACTGCCATTTAAGCCACAGGCTTTTCACAGAGTCCTGTTGGTTGCTACAGGATCCTCGTTCACGTCACTTCCTAGTAGTCCTTGAGAATCCTGGCCTGCCATGTAGGCCTGTGAGACCCTTGGTGGGTGGGCTTTTCTCCTTCCCCACTCCCCACAGCCTTTGTGTTTGTGTGGCAGGAATACCTCAGTGCTATTCACCACCTCTATGAGGAGTGGCTGGTCACCGGCAGCCTTTTCCCAGCTACAGCCCCCGTTCTGGTAAGTTAATGTCCCTCCTGGAGTGGAGACTTTCCTATGCGGCGAAAGGCCCAGAGAATATCACCCATGCCACAGAAAAGAGCTCTTTCTCTCTCTGCCCCCATTTCTGGACAGGCTCAGAGGCACTTGGACAGACTTGAGAAAAGCCTGGTTACATTAGTAACACGTTACCCAGCACTACATCACTGCAAATAAATGCCCAGATGGCTCTTGATCTGGGTTTGAGATTGGACCTTTGGGGATGATGGTCCCCATTCTTTGGTGGGTGATGCAGAGCCTATTCATCATCTTAGGTGACTCAGTGCCTTCAGAAAGCATGTTAGTGGCTGTCTGTCCTTAGTTGTCACACTGACACCCTAGGAGGTACTGAGGGTGTAGAAGTGCCATACTGCTGCACCTCTCAGCTCTTGAGCACATGTCCAATAGGGGATCCTGAGCTTTTGTTCATGGCCTTGGGCTGTGGGCCACATAGACATTCTGGCTCTGAGAAGCAGGCAGCAAGGCTGTGGCAAGGCACATCTTCACTGTGGGAACTTTTAGTTTGTTTTCCTTCGCTTGGAAAAGGAAACCCTAGGGGCTAAGGAACTAGCAAAGTATTGGAGAGTTTGTCTAGATGTTCGAGTCCCTGGCTTCTGCTCCAACACAGCCCTGACTCGCAGTTCCAATGGAAAGGAAAGTACTGATGCCAGGGTGGATTCTTTGGTAAAATTCAGTTCAGAGTGTGGCCTGTCCTGAAGCTTGCAGCTGTGTGGTTTTGCCCTTCTTGGCCTCTCAGCCTCTTATACCTCCCTAGGGAGGCTGGAGTTACTTGGTGCAGGCTGTGACCTATTTGTTTTATTTCCAGGTGATTGAGGCTGACCACGACTTGGAGAAAATGTTAGAGCTCTATGAACAAAACCGGGCCCGGATATTAACTCCAGAGAATTGGAAGCATGGCCCATAGGACTGGACATGGCCACAGTCTACAAGCCAGTGCCAGGAATAGCTCAGTAGGGCCAGGTTAGCTGTTTAGGAGCATCTGGAAGAATCTACTCTCAGGAGTGTGTGTTACCTGGTCAGATCTATTGTCTTTATGGCCTTTCATTATGGGACAAATGGTTTTTGTCATCAGGTCCTTGCAGCTTACATTCCCCCTGGTACCCTCCTTCCTGGTGGTTTCCTGAGGCTGAAGTCCTTTGGAAAAACACTTGCTGTGTCCCTAGTTTTGTTCTTGCTTCTATGCATCAGGCCACCCAGTTGGGCAAGGGAACATAGTCTTCTATCCCAGTCAAGGATTTGAGGCTCAGAGAGGTGCAGGAACTCTTCAAGGCCACACAGCCAGTGCATAGTGGAGTTGGCACCATTCAGACACCTGGTTTGGTCTGTTTCCTCCTGAGCTGTTCCCCTCAGCCCTACCGTTCTGAGCTTCAGCCGCCCCTCCCTGTACCACCCCCTCCACTCTGTTCTTTGTGAGAAGAGCTGGCAGTATGTAGACTCCATTACATTTCACTACTGGGCAAGGTTCAAGGAGAATTGACATCAGTAGTTTCTGGCACACCTCTGTTATTTGGCCTGAGCCCAGCGTTTCCTGGCATGAAGGTTCTGCAGCCTCTATGCCTTTGTCATCTGGATCTTAGTGTCTGTAGGGGGATCATGCATCGGCCGTTGGATGGTGTCAGTGTCATTGAGGATGAAGACCCTTCCCAGACTGCTGCCAATTTTATGTCATTCTGTGTCAGAAAAAAAGACTCTTGGGACTTGGACACTATGCCCTGTTTGGAGTGAAGCCAAGGGCAGTCAGCTGGGCTTCCAGGGCTCCATCACTCTCTCCTGTCCTTGTGTGAGGAGCAGGGCCCTTGGAATTACTGAGTGTTTGTGGCCCAGGGAGAGAGACATAGTGGCCTTAGCACTTTTGAACTGTTTTTCCATCTGAGCGGATGGATGTCTTGGACCACAGAGCATGAAGCCATCTGTGTTGGATCAGAACGTGTCTTAGCTTTGCTGGGCCATAGCTGCACACCAAGGTGCAGCTGCTGCTTGAACCAGTGAGACCAAGAAAAAGAAAAAACATTCCTCTGGGGACAGTGGGACTGGAAAGTCAGGCTTTGCAAATAAAGGCATTTAAAGTCTTACTGCTCTTGACATTCTGGAGTTGGTGGAGTGCATCTGGAGAAGACTGGATGCAGACTCGGGGAATGATTACTGTGCACTCTGGAGAAATACAGCATGGTGGGCTGCTGATGACGTGTGCCAGCTGGCCCTGCTCTGCCTCTCCATAGGTGCCTGGTGGCCATAGAGAGGGCCAAGAGTCCAGCTGTTGATCCTTCCTGTTTGGACCAATTCTTGGACCCTTTCTGTAGTATGAGGGAAAGCAGCTAAGGGGACCTGAAACATGAAAAAGTGAAAGACCCAGAGACCGATATTGAAGTTCAAACCTAAAGCTGATTATCAGGAAAACAAAGCATCTGGCCACCAGCTTCTTACCTTTACCTTGGGCTGAATGGGCTGGTCCTGTCATCACGAGCTGTCACCAAGCCTCAGACTGTAGCCTTTCCTTAGCGTGGCTGGAGACTGAATACCCCTATCTCCAGTGTGGCTGGAGACTGAATACTCCTGTCTTCTCTGTGTGGCTGGAGAATGAATGCTCTTATCTTCTCTGAGACCTTGCTTCTGTCTTATATACTTCCCTAGTGTTGGAATTAAAGGTGTGAGCTATAATTCTCTCTTATATTGACTTACTTTTGTGTAGATCTGGGTGGCCTTGAATGCACAGAGATCCATCTGTCTGTTAATCCTGAGTCCTAGGATTAAAGGTGTGTTCCACTACCTCATAGCTTCTGGCTGCTGGGATTAAAGGTGTGTGCCTGGCATCTATGGCCTGTGGCTAACTTTGCTTTCTGAATCCTCAGGCAAGCTTTAATAAATCATAAACAATATATCCCCACAGGGACCATCCGTCAGTGCCTGTAGTCCATACACGGATAAACCATAAACCCGAGAAGGGCAGGGACTTTTGTACCCGCATTCCTGACATGGGGGGCGGGCACCTTTGGAATTTACAAGTGAACAGTCCCAGCACTTGCCCCTCTGCTCAGAGCACTCACTTGTCTGAAGAGAAACGTGATTTTTGTCTTGCTTTCTGATAGCCAATGGATTCTACATCTAAGCCCTGATGTTAATTTCCTTTTTCATTTCATTTTCTTTTTTTTTTTTTTTTTTTGGCCTCAAATTTACTATATAGCCCAGGCTGGCCTTAAACTCTCAGTAGTCTTTTTTGCCTCAGCCTTTTGAGTGCTGGAATTACAGGCATGTGCCACCATGTCTGGCTTGTATGTTCATTTTTAATTTAATTTTTTATATTTTTATGTATTTTTTGTCTGTATGTACATGTGTGCCTAATGACCATAGAGGCCAGAAGAGGGCATTGGATCCCTTGGGGCTAGAGTTATGGGCAGTTGTGAGTTGCCATGCGGGTGCTAGGAGTTGGGCCTTGGGCCCCTAGAAGAGTAGCCAGTGCTCTTAACCACTGAGCCATCTCTAGCCTCATGTGTTTGTTTTTAAAATACCATGTTTTTTAAACAGTGCTCATGGTACAGAAAGAGCCTGTTGTCCTCGTACCTTGACACTTCAGATAGGAAACCATCTACAGCAGTGGCTGTGGTTGTTTGTAGAAACCTAGCTCAGTGATCGCTGCTATCTATCAGGCAGATCTGGTAGGGGTAGGGTAGGGTGGGGATCATGGAGCAATTACCAGCACTAACATCTCATGGCCAGAAAAGGGCAGGTAGCACATAGGAGGCCATAAGGTCTAGTTCGTAGACACAGGGCATCACTCCCTAAAGTTGCCCTTAAGTGGCTGGTAGTGCATGGTAGGGGCTGGCATCCCTAAAGAGACAGAGTATCCTTGCTTTGACCCCAAGACCAATGCAAAAGCACGGTACATGAGCACCTGTGTCCCCATACCCTATCCCTAGCCTGCTATGAATTCCACTTGCTAAGGCTTTTCATACCTTATGCTTGAGATATTTATCAGTCGCAGAAGTATGCACTGCTGGCAGTGTGGGCAGGCTGGAAAAGCCAGGTAGGTGCCAGGCCAAGCTGTGACTAACCAGGGACCAACAAGGACAACACTTGTGGTTAGGCATGTTCTGTGCCGTCTCTCAGGGTCCCCTGTGGGATTGGCTCAGGGTGGTCTGTTCACAGATGTGCCCTTTGCTGAGTCTCCTCTCTTCCTCACCCCAGTCCCATCAGCTGCTTCCTGGGGTCACCTCTTAAAGAGCCACTTATACCCAAATCCAGTGCTGCGGAGGGAAATCCAGACTGAGAGAGCCCTCCTTGCCTCCTTCCCCCACGCCTCCTTCCTTTGCTGCTTTCCTTAATCCAATATTTATTACTCTTTTAGCCCCTCACTCCGTCACCTGGGTCAGACTCACAAACTGCACTGTGGAGGGTCACTTCTCAAATAGTCTCTTGTGGAAAATGATCTGTGGCCAGATATATTTGGGAAACACTGCTGAGCAAGGCCCCCTTACTCCTTGCCTCCAGGATTTCTCAGACTGAGTAGCAGGAAAGTGGGGTATGGACTTCTTAGAGGGACAGAAATGGATGGAACTTTCGACCTCTTGGACTCTGGCTTCCTAAATAAAAACAAATTATTTTTCTTTTGAATTATGTATATGCCAGCATAGATGTATGGTACCCCCACATGTGTACGTGGTGTGTACAGTACCCATGGAGGCCAGAGAGGGTCTTGGGTGCCCTGGAGCTACATGTATGTGGTTGTGAGCCGAGGGATGTGGGGGCTGGGAATCAGATTTGGGTTCCCTGTATAATCCTACTGTTTCCTAAGGTCTACAAATCAATTGGGTTCTTAAAGCTTCTTGACCAGGTAAGGTGAAACAGGCAATCTAGGGAGGAGTTCAGTAACTCCGAGGCTCTTGTGGGATAGGCTAGGTAAACCTCCCTCTTCCAATAACAACAAATGGCCTAGCTGCTTTACGTGCACACACCCTTCTGTAATCACGTAGTCAACAACCTTGGCTCACTGGACCTGTGGCAGGTTGCATGCCCTCTCTTTGAAACAATGGAATAAGTTCCTCCTCCCCTAACAACAACTAGACAGTTCTACTCAAATATATTCCCAATGCATCTTGGTATGAAGACTAGAAAGGTTGATCTGGCTTCAACTGGTTTTGGGTGTACAAGCAGGATAAGGCAAAACTGTGTCCTGGAGTAAGCTTTTAGGGAGAATCCTCTATTTTTGCCATCTTATGTCTTTGCATAACAGGCTGTATATGATGAAAGTTAGGAGCATTGTGGGAAGGGGTATGCACAGCAGAAAGATGATTAGATGACCAAACCCATCAATTAAAACACAATTACCCTCATGCCACCTCTTAGAAACAAACATTTCATTCTCCTCAGGTACCGTAAAAGGAAGCCCCGAACAATTATCAGAGCCCTGAGTATCCTCACTCACGACAGCATGTCCATCTCTAATCTATACTATCACTTCGCTCTGATTAAAGTTACTTGCTATTTTTATTTTTTGAAAATTGTCATGAGCCCTTATTTTCAGTTCTTTGGATAAGAGCCAAGAACCTTGAAATACCTGACCCAACCCTGACAGCCCTGACTACCTGTAAGGTAGGACATTCACAAGTTCTGGAAGTAGGAGGGGAAGGGAGTCCCTCTTTGGTCTATCATCCCAAATGGGTCTGTTATTTCAATATTTAGCTGATATTCAAAGTTGTACTTGTCCAACACCATGGAACTTTGTAGTTGAGATTGAGAATGGGAGACTTCTAGATGGGGGTATGCAGGACTCTAGGACCTTGTGTTGTCTAGAAGGGCATAGTCCCTGGGCCAAGAGCCAAGAGTGTGTGTGTGGGAGAGAAGTGTAAAATGGTCTCGACTCTCCTGGTTTCTTTCTTTTTTTGTAGTTGTTGTTTTTGTTTGTTTTGTTTCTGAGACAGGGTCTCATGTCACTCAGACTGGCCTCACACTCGGTGTGGAGCTGAGGCTGGATTTGAACCAATACTCTGGCCTCCACCTGAGTGCAGGAATGCACCCAGGTATCTTACAGACATGCCCCACTATGTCTGGCTTCTTATCTCTTTCTTTCATTCCTTGACTCCAAGCAAATTTGTTCCTGAAGGAGGATGGAGTGACCTTTCACTAGCCCAGAATCACAAACCGGCAGACTGTTTCCTCCCTCTCGTGCATTTATTCTGTTTTCCGCAACCTAGGTGGTTGTTTTAGTCCTTAGCACTTGGGAACCCATGACGCCTAAGAGCCACTCACCTCTTCTAGTTCTCAGAGTAGGCTGTGATCGGAAGGGGGAGTGGAAACACCAGGCGTGGTTCCTGAAGTCTCCTCTCTTGGCAGCCCATGTTAGAACGTGCCCCGCCTCTCCATGGCAGCTTTCTGGCCTGATGCCTGGCTCCACACTGGCCTGCTACAGCCTGGTATATTTGTTGTTCAGAGAGCCAGTTGTGCTTTCTGGGTCCTCAAGAGAAACTGCTTTCACTAATATGCTCAGCTTTGGGGAACAATGGTGATTAGGAGGAAGGTGGGGCCAGGGATATTCAAGGATGACTTTGGACTTGGGAGACTGGGGAACCTTCATTTCAACAGCTCCTAAGGTCCCTGCATAACCTATGGGCTTCAACTTCTAAGGGAAGGAGAGTCAGTTAAAGGTGCTGCCTGGACAGAGGGTCCCAGGTCTGAGACTCAGCACTTAATTGTCTCAAGCCCATGTAACACCAGGGGAAGGGCAGTTTTCTTTAAGAACAGAACTACATATTGTTACAGTTTTCTACTCCAAAGCCCCATTCACTCCTGTTAGGCTCTGTGCTGGAACCACCCTCTGGAGAGTAATCAGCCCTGACGCTGGACCCCCAATCTCTGGTAGACAACTCCAGACACTCAGGAACAGTCCAGGAAGAGAGAGTCTGGAAGGAGAGACCAGACTCCCAGTGAGGTAGTCCTGAGGGAGGAGACAGTCCCTGGACTGTAGCCTCAGGCTGTATGTGATGTCACAGATACATGCCTTAGACCTTTGCCCAAATTTATGTTCCTCTTCAGAAGCAAAGCTGTGTAACTGGATGACTGCATTTCTTGTGAGGGTCTT